GGCTCAAAGAAGAGTAAAATGATGATTCCAATACACAGGGGCAAGACTTTCAAGCCAATAGGAATTGTGACAATGACTAATTTTTATATTATTATTATTATTTTGTTTTTGCCAGTCCTAAGACTTGAACTCAGGGCCTGGGTGCTGTCCCTGAGCTCTTTTGCTCAAGGCTGGCGTGCTACCACTTTGAGCCACAGCTCCATTTCCAGTTTTCTGGTGGTTCATTGGAGATAAGAGACTCACAGACTTTCCTACCCCGGGCTGGCCTCCAATTGTGATCCTCAGATCTCAGACTCCAGAGTAGCTGGAATGACTGGTGTGAGCCACCCATACCCTGCCAGATTACGTCTTCCTATGTGCAGCACTAAAACTTAGGTGACATTGTGAACTTAATTTTCAAGTGACCTCTGTCAGATAAAATAGACGAAAAATGCATATTCTATTTATATTTACTAAAACAACCGTGCTAATGAAATTGTTTTTGGACCAATGGCTGTATAAAAGAGGGTATATCATTTTTCTTCACTTTTTGCAAATACCTAGCACTTTTTCTTTCAGATTTCTTTGTGTGTGTGTGAGGGGGGGGAGGGAGGAAGGAGGGAAAGCTAAGTGATATTGTTTCCAGAACTTGCTGTTCGCTGAGATGGTGTCCCGTAGACACTTTTGTGAAAAACACCTTGATAGAAAGAGGAGGCCAGCAGATGGATAGGAAACGCCAGTGACACCCATCTTCCCTTCACGGAAAGAGGGAAGCGATAATTTCTTAGTTATTACGCGGCCAAGGTAAAACAGAAAAACAAAAGGTGAATTTGTAGCGATATCGTGATTCTGGAAAGCGAAGGATGGATGATTTAGTCTTAGAAAACATCTGACATGAAAGTGAGGGGAAGGAGGGAGGAGGGAGAGAGAGAGAGAGACAGACAGACAGAAAGTGAGAGAGAGAGAGAGCAGTTACTCTCCGCTGTATCCATTTGCATGCCTTTCTCATTGTTTAAATCTGACAAAATGACAGCACACAGTTCTTATTTTTATTTTTTGGTTGTGGGACTTGAACTCAGGACCTGGGCGCTGTCCCTGAGCTCTTTCAAGGCTGGCGCTCTACCACTTGAGCCAAAGCACCACTTCCAGTTTTCTGGTGGTTCATTGGAGATCAGAGTCTCATGGGCTTTCCTGCCAGGGCTGGCTTTGAACCATGATCCTCAATCTCAGCCTCCTGAGTAGCTGGGATGACAGGCAGGAGCCATAGGTACCCGGTGATCATTTTGTTTTTGGTTGCCAATCATTCAACACCTCAAACCTTTTGTCCCACGAATAAATGGATTGTCATGGACATTATGTTCTCAATGTATGTGTTCATATCAGCCAGAGAATAACAGTTATCAGGAGCAATATATTTTATAGAAAAGGTGAGAAGGACACTTATAATTTCAAGTTACTGGATGCAGAATTATTATTATTATTACTATTATTATTATTGCTTCTTTTCATATAGCTCCCTCATTTGAGAAATGGTTCCTAAATTCTAGGTAAGAAGAAAGCTCAGATAATACAGTCCTCACATTTCATGTTCACAGGTGAACACAAAGCCAGGTGGCTTGAGGGGAGGGGCAGGGGGAGGGAGGAGAGAAGGGGAGATGGAGAGAAGGGGTGATGTGGGTCAAGATGCATTGTCCTCATAACCTGATCTATTGAATGGAAACCCCTCTGTAGAACTACTTAAAGATTGGTCGTTTTCAAGCCGGGCACTGGTAGTTCATACCTGTCATCCCAGCTACTTAGGAGGCTGAGATCTGAGGATCATGGTTCAAGGCCAGCCTGGGCAGGAAAGTCTATGAGACTCTCATCTTCAATGAACCACCAGAAAACCAGAAGTGGCGCTGTGGCTCAAGTGGTAGAGCATTAGCCTTGGGCTGAAGAGCTCAGGGACAGAGCCTAGGCCTTGAGTGACCAAAAATACTAATAATTTTCATTTAAAAGGGAAACATTTAAAGTAGATATTGCAATATCTCTACATCAAAACAACAACAACAACAAAAAACAACCCTATGTACCAAGTGCCTGTTTGAATGTGTCTGAGGGGTTTCAACTCCCCTTCTCTCTAGCTCTGCCCTTCTGTGGTAGATCCAGTGCCCAGCTCCCTGCTGGTCCAGGCTCCTGAAATCACCATGCCAACGCTCTGCAGGGCTCTCTCCCACCCCCTCTCGGCCCCAGCCTGCGCGTGCACAGCTGGGCCTGAGCGATGCTGGCTCATTCCACTCAGGAGTCATGCATGGCACATCTGTAACCAAGCCCAGGCCTGGCCTAGATTCAGCCGAGATGCCAGTCAATAATAAAGGCAGGGGGGAAAAATCCCTGCGCACACACACACAGAGAATGGTTCCAATGGGAGCTTCCTCTCCGGTGGTTCCTACATTCCGGGTTTTATTTTATTTAAGATTTTTCTTTTTCCCAGTGAAAACAATTTCCTAGCACATACACATTGACACTAATACTCTCTTCCTTCATTAGGACTTAATAATGGGAGTATATACTTAAATAAAAGAAGCCGGTGGTGATGCTCATCCAACCATGACCTTGCCTGCTGCAGTTTGTAAAAGCAGGTGCATTGGGCACTCTGGACCTGTGGGGTTTTTACTGCAGCTTAAAAATATCTGCAAAAAAGACATAGCTAATAAATAGAAAGCCCATGGAAGGGGAGTTTTTTTCCCCCAGCTGTGTATCAGACAAGGACCTCAGATCTAAAATATACTTAGAGTTCAAAACAATTAATGCCTCCTCCCCCCAAATAAACTCTCAAAGAATCAACAACCCAGTTATTAAATCAGACAAGAACCTAATATCTAAAATATACTTAGAGTTCAAAATAATTAACACCTCCCCCCAAATAAACGGTCAAAGATCAGCAACCCAATTAATAAATGGGCTAAAGAGTTAAAGAGGGACTTCTCAGAGGAAGAAGTAAGCGTGGCCAAATAAGAAGAGATGTTCAACATCTCTGGCCATAAAGGAAACGCAAATCAAAACCACATTGAGATTCTACCTCAGCCCAGTTAGAATGGCCATTATCAAGAAAACCAACAATAACAGATACTGGTGGGAAGGTGGCCAAAAGGGAACACTCCTACACTGTTGGTGGGAATGTAAACTTGTTCAACCTCTCTGGAAAGCAGTATGGAGATTCCTGAAAAGACTAAGCATAAAGCTCCTCTATGCAATCCTACTCCTGGCATTTATTCAATTGACCACAAACCAGGCCACACTAAAGCCACCAGCACAACCATGTTCATTGCAGAATTTTTTACCTTAGTCAAGATACGGAATCAGCCCAAATGCCCCTCCGTGGACAAATGGATCAAGAAAATGTAGTGTAGACACACAATGGAATTCTATGCTTCCATAAAAAGTAATGATATTGTACCATTTACAAGGAAATAGAAAGACTTGGAAAAAAATTATATTAAGCGAAGTAAGCCAGACCCAAAGAAACATAAGTTGCATGATTTCCCTCATTTGTGGTAGCTAGAATGTGCCTATAAACACACTGGATGGTTTAAAAAAAAAGAAACCACTGGGACATGATAAATATACAGGTCTCTAAACATTCACACAATGAGCCCAAAGGAGGATAATCTTAGGAGAGGATCATAAAGGTGCAATAACAATGTGTATAAAATAATATTTTATGAAATGAACTCCAACAAATTGAAATGAGATTTTGTGGTTGTTGTTGTTTTTTTCCTTTTGTCTTATTTGTTCGTTCACCTATCTCTGGGAGGGTGAGGGGGGACACAGAAATGGGGGACCAGAGGTGGTCCTCATTGGACACCATGTGGAGAATGAATTCTACTCCTCATGGGTGGGGATGGGAGGGAAGAACTGGGGGAGAGAGCGAGGGACATGGTCCAAAGAGAAATGTGCTTATGATCTGACAGATGTCACTGTCACCTCTCTGCATGTCACCTTTATCATCACAAAAAAATACATTAAAACAATGCATTGCTTCTGCTCACAGAAAGTGGTAAATAAAAACTTATTGCTCCAAACAACCACGTGTTCACTTGCTAATAGAACGATGAAGGGTCTAAAAAAAGAAATCTGCAAAACACAAAGAATCTATCCTGTTGAAGATGTACAGAGATTTTTTTTTTCCCTCATTATTTCCTGAGCCATGCAGAATAAGTATTTATGTAGCATGGACACCACATTAAGTCTTATTAGAGAATCCACGGTCGGTTAAATATTCAGGTCATCTGATGCCATTTTATAGGAGGGATGTGGCATCTCCTGGAGAGAGGGTAGAGTCTCCCAGGAAGATCTTGGGCATAGTCTAAGGCATAACTGTCTATACCTCTCTTTCTCTGTTCCAGCCGAATCAAAACAGAGTAAAACTAGGGGTTCGGCTGCAAAATGAAGCACAGAAAATCTTCAGACTCATCAAAGCTCACACAGAGAAAGAGCGAGCCAAAATGTGTTACATTTACACTTGGCTAAACAAAGCTTGGCTCTCTAGGAAATTTCCAACAGGAAGAGTGGAAAATATATATATTAGTGATCACATCCCAATGTTTGCAATGAGTGTTGCAAAGAAATGCGGTGTGTGTGTGTGTGTGTGTGTGTGTGTGTGTGGTGGGGGAGGGGAGGAATGTCCTGGGGCTGGAGTGACAGTTCTACTTCTGGCATTTGGGTGATTCATCCCCCCCCCCAAATGGGGGAGAAGGATGGTTGGAAGGGTGCCGTGCATCAAGATGTAGTGTCCTCATCACCTGCCATCTTGAATTGATATCCTTACTGGACAACTACTTGAAGATCATTTGGAAAAGCAAAAACGAATAATGATAAAAGCAATGATAATCACACGGAGGATTCCAACGGTTGATGACCTGGAAGTTGAGGCTGCTATCCATTACAGGGTAGAAGAAGCTTCTACCGCAGCTGCCCGGAGAGGATTACATTATATTGCAATTGAAATGGTCCCCCTCTCCAGTTGGAAATGAGCTCACCAGTACAGCCGATGAGCCAGCCGAACGCTCTGCAAAGAGCGATGCAGTAGAAGGTCCACCAGAGGGCTTTCCAGGCTCCATTCAAACTTCACAGCCTGAGGGAAGACACAGGACTTTAACTCCCCTTCTTCACCCGCCCCCCCCTCCATTTGTCTCCGACCCTGAGACTTGAACTCAGGGCCTACCACTTGAGCTACAGCTCTACTTCTGTTTTTCTGGTGGTTCATTGGAGATAAAAGTCTCACAGACTGTCCTGCCCCCAGGCTGGCTTTGAACCATGATCCTCAGATCTCAGCCTAGCTGGGATGGCAGGCGTGAGCACCGGTGCCCGGCTAGGGTTGAGTTATCTGCTAGGCCGAGTTGCAATATTCTTCTGAAGGCGTCAATTGTCGATTCACTGGGAACCTTGGAGAGGATCTTTAAGCCCCCAGACCTCGCAGGGCTCACCTGAACCAGCTGTGGAAGGTACTCCTGTAGTTCATCGTTCGGGAGTCGGTCAAGCTGATCAACCGCCACTTTGCGAATTTCTTGATCTGGGAAACTGAACAGGAGACACAGGGCTATCAAGATGTGGATGGGAAGGGAGAAATTACATGGACACTTCATCTAGTAACAGAATCTCACCTTACAGCTAGGGGCTGGGCACCAGCTAAGGGATACTTAACACTAAATCATCATCATCATCATTATTGTTGTTGTTGTTATTTTTTGATGGTTGTGGGGTCTTGAACTCTGGGCCTGGGCGCTGTCCCTCAGCTCTTCAGTTCAAGGCTGGTGCCCTACCACTTGAGCCACAGCTCCACTTCAGGTTTTCTGGTGGTTCATTGGAGATCAGAGTCTCATCCACTTTCCTGCCCAGGCTGGCTTCGAACCACGATCCTCAGATCTGTCTCCTAAGTAGCTGGGACGACAGGCATGAGCCACCAGCACCCAGCAAATCATTGTTATTATTTCCCCATATTCCAAACTCATGCAATACTGTAGTAGAAAGCTCTTTGAGCTGGATTTGTGTGTGTGTGTGTGTGTGTGTGTGTGTGTGTGCGCTGGTCCTGGATTTGAACTCAAGGCCTAGGCACTGTCCCTGAGCTCTTTCACTCAGCCTGGTGTTCTACCACTTAAGCCACAGCACCACTTCTGGTTTTCTGGTAGTTAACTGGAGATTAGAGTCTCACAGACTTTCCTGCCTGGGGCTGGCTTCGAACCCTGATCTTCAGATCTCAGCCTCCCAAGCAGTTAAGATAACAAGCATGAGCCACCGGTGCCTGGATGAACTTTTCTTCCTTTAAACGTTATAACCATAAGAACTGGTGAGGTCTGTAGGCCAGGCACAAATTGGGAAGTATTGCTGAAGTTGGAGATTTTTGCACAGCAGCACGCACGCGCACACACACACACACACCACACAGAGTCAGAGAGCAGAAGGGTCGGATAAAAATGCATAGCTAGGAGGTCGGCTTCTTTATTTCTTAAATCGCATTAAGACTTTAGATTTCGTCCGAGTAAATGCAATTGACTCGCATGCATTACTCTCAATTACGAACGCGTTTGTCTGGAAGCTTATGAGAGGCGTCAAGGTCGACTCAAGGATGTTTTGCAGGCTTGGAGAAAATAGGTGTTTGCTACACTTAGAGGCCTGAACGATGCTTTTAGGTTCGATTCCAGTCAGCCCAACTCTCTTTTTGAATCTTTTTTCTTCTGACCATAAAGGAAGGTAAATTGCACACACACACACACACACACACACACACACACACACCATAAAAATACCCCCAACCTCTCTGGTGAGTATATTATGTCATTATTAGCCTCACCTTGCAATGGAAACTCTATGAACTAAAGAAAGAGAGAAATGTGTTTCTTTGCTCTCCTTTGCTCTAATGTGCTTTTCTTCTTGGGTTTTCCTCCCATCGCTTTTCCTTTCTCATCTGGTGGAAGTCTTTGTGTGTTTTCGAGTCCAAACTTCACCCTGGAAGGTGTTCTAAGTATCATTGAGAATACTCTACCCTCCTCCCTACAGAATTCTCCAGAAGGTGCTTGTTCAAGGGGAGACACAATCATTTGTGAATCGCTCGGCCAAACATACCACTGCAGCCTCTTTGCTGGTTGCCAAGTTTTTGGGGTGATTTTTCTACTCGGATGGCTCTAGCATCTAGCTATGTGGCCTTTTAGGATCAAACCAAGGATACCACGGCCTTGTTCTGCTGTTGGCATTTTTTTCATAATGATACCTTGGGGAAAAATGGCCTAAACTATTGGTAGATTCTCTTCACACAAAACATTAGTTTCAGGCCAAGCCCTGGTGACACATGCCTGCCATCCTAGAGATCTGAGGATCGTGGTTCAAAGCCAGCCTGGCCAGCAAAGTCTGTGAGACTCTGATCTCCAAGGAACCACCAGAAAACAGGAAGTGGTGCTGTGACTCAAGTGGTAGAGCACCAGTCTTGAGCACACAAAGAAATACTTAATGCTTTTGGAAAGCAACCAGGCCCTGAGTTCAAGCTCCAGGGTAGGCACTAAATAAATAAATAAATAAAAAAAATATATATACACACATATATATATATATATATACTTACATATATACTTATATGTATATATACTTATATATATGTATGTGTATAAAATATATACTATATGCTATATAATAATATAATATATAAGCACTAAGTATATATAATATATTACACAATATATAATATAACATAATAAGTATGTATATATAATATAAAATATATAATATATAATTATGTGTATATATATGCATATATACTATATATGTATATCTATATTAAGGATATATATTATTTTGTTGTTGTTGTTGGTCGTGGGGCTTGAACTCAGGGCCTGGGCGCTGTCCCTCAGCTCTTCAGCTCAAGGCGAGCGCTCTACCACTTGAGCCACAGTGCCACTTCCGGTTTTCTGGTGGTTTATTGGAGATAGGAGTCTCACGGTCTCTCCTGCCCCCCGGGCTGGCTTTGAACCACGATCCTCAGATCTCAGCCTCCTGAGTAGCTAGGATTACAGGCGTGAGCCACCAGCACCCGGCAAGGATATATATTATTAAGGACAGTCACATGTAAGAAGATTTGGAATACATATATATAGTATATATGTATATACTGTATATATACTATATACTGTATAGTAATAATTACTTCGAATTCTAAGGGTTTTGGTTAGTTGACTTCTATCGGCACTTAGGAGATGCTGATAATTATTAGGAATTATTGCTATTTTTGAAATAAGTGCTCTCATTGCTCAACTATTCAGCTAACTGTGAGGTTTTATTGCATCTTTGGATTTAGTATCTTGGTTTTTTTTTTTTTTTTTTTGCCAATCCACTGGGTTTGAACTCAGGGCCTGGGCGCTGTCCCTGAGCTTTTTCTGCTCAAGGCTGGTGCTCTACCACTTGAGCCACAGCGCCACTTCCCGTTTTCTGGTGGTTCGTTGGAGATGAGAGTCTCATGGACTTTCCTGTCCAAGTTGCCATTGAACCAGGATCCTCAGATCTCAGCCTCCTGAGTAGCTGGGATGACAGGCGTGAGCCACGGGTGCTCAGCTAGTACCCTGCTTTATCTAGGGTGGGTGATTAATCAAAAGGCATCGATCAAAGATGACAACAATGAGCAAAGTCACTCTGTGGCATTGCTATTGTACGGCTCTTAGGTAAGTGGCATTGGATGCTACAGGTTCAATCCAACAAATAACACAATACTAATTTCAGAGGCTTTTTTTTTCCCCTTCTCTCCATCAAAGCTTTCAGGAAAAAAGAAAAGAAAACAAACCAACAACTAAATCTGAAGAGAGCAGAAAACAAACAAACATTTTCCCAAGCTCCTTCAGCTAAAGGAGAACAAAACCGAGTTGTACTAATACAGGGCAGCACAGGTGCAAACGGAAAACAGTCTATTTCTATTAATACACACAAAGGTTAGCAGGACATATTTGTTTTTCACTCTGATTCAATAATAAGCGCTCCCTTTCAAATGTGCCTCTCCACTGAGCAAGTGCACTCACGCTTGGAATCTATCCGGAAGTTCCGATCAGAGCTACGTGTCAGGCTAGAAATGAGAGAGGAAGGTCTGAAAATAGATAATAAAGTTAAATATGCTGTCACAGCCTGAGAGATCATACGGGGCCATAGGAGAGAATCATAGAATGCATTTTTAAATTATGATGACAAAGATGACGTACAGAGAGGTGACAGTGACATCAGTCGGGTCATGAGCGCATGGCTCTGTGGACCCTGTCCCTGCTTCCCTCGCTCCCCCCCCCCCCAGTGTTTCCCTCCCGTCCCCATCCACGAGTGGTAGAGTTCATTCTCCACCTGGTGTCCCGTGAGGACCCCGGCTGCCTTGGTTTCCCCCTCTGTCCCCCCATTTCTATGCCCCCCTCACCCTCCCAGAGACAGAGAAACCCACCCAGGAGACAAAGAGGAAACAAAGACAATGTAGAAGAAAAGAACCTCTTCTTCCAATTTCCTAGAGTTATTTTATATGATCAGAAGTATATGCTAAAAGTATAATGGAATGTTTTTGTCCCGCGCTGTCCCTGAGCTTCTTTTGCTCAAGACTAGCGCTCTACCACTTGAGCCACAGCGTCACTTCTGGCTTTTTCTGTGTCTGTGGTACTGAGGAATTGAACCCAGGGCTTCATGCATGCTAGGCGAGCACTCTACCACTGAGCCACCTGCCCAGCCTTTTCCCTCTCTTTCTTTCCTTCTTTCTTTCCTTCTTTCTTTCCTTCTTTCTTTCCTTCTTTCTTTCCTTCTTTCTTTCCTTCTTTCTTTCTTTCTTTCTTTCTTTCTTTCTTTCTTTCTTTCTTTCTTTCTTTCCTCCCTCCCTCCCTCCCTCCCTCCCTCCCTCCCTCCCTCCCTCCCTCCCTTCTTTCTTTCTTTCTTTCTTTCTTTCTTTCTTTCTTTCTTTCTTTCTTTCTTTCTTTCTCTCTTTCTCTCTTTCTCTCTCTCTCTCTCTCTCTCTTTTTTGGGTCCGGTCGTGGGGCTTGAACTCTGGGCCTGGGCACTGTCCCTCAGCTCTTCAGCTCAAGGCTAGCGCTCTACCACTTGAGCCACAGCGCCACTTCCAGCTTTTTTTCTTTTTGCTTATGTGGTGCTGAGGAATCGAACCCAGGGCCTCAGGCATGCAAGGCAAGTGCTCTACCACTGAGCCACCTTCCCAGCCCTTTCCCTCTCTTTAAAAGGAATATGAACACCTTCCTCCACTACATTTTATAGGAAGAGCATAGGGAGCCACACACGAACACCAAATATCTGAAGGAAAGTTTCTTCCATGGCTTTGATTTTCTTTTTAAAGCCTATTTCGAATAGTGTTTCAATTCTACCTAAAATTAACTTCTTTGTTGTTGAACAGGGCCTACTTCTTAATTTAGTGTTTGGCTCTTCCAACTTATTTGTGAAAAGGTGTGAATAACTGGAAATTCATTGCGATTACTAGAAAGAACTTGTGAATCACAGGCCTGTGTGTGTGTGTGTGTGTGAGTGTGTGTGCTTGAACTCAAGTCCTGAGTGCTGTTCCTGACTTT